AAGTTTATAAGATGTTTCAATATTCTTTTTTGTATTGGCGATATGCCATAATCTCATTATATAATTTTCTATCATGTTTAATAGATTAATAATTTAATAGTACGAGAAAACTTTATATATTTTAAATAATTTCACATAAAACAAATCTTTCACAATTTTAACCAAATACATGAGATTCTTGAAATCTTTAAAATACAATTATTTGATAGATTTATTAAATACACAAAACTCTTTATAAATTTAACAAATCTATCTACAAATTTCACAAATCTCCAAATTTTTAAAATCACTCAACTTTATCTAAATCATACTGCCAATAACCCCCCTTAGTTAAGTTTTCATAATATAGATTTTTTACTCCACCAACACACATAATAGTTTTCATACCCCCACATAATTGGGAAAATTCCCAAAATACTCTCGAACTTAGTTGCATTTGCTGAAAAATACTCAAATTTTTTTACTATCCGATAAATACACCAACTATTTAAGATTGTTCTTTATATACACAAATTTTTAAAATGGGTCCTCGACATTAACGGTGTCAATCCGACTAACGGAAATTACTGTTTGCTACAGTACATTCTTCTTCTCCAAATCGATTTTGGGATTTAAGAATCCTAAATCACCAAATTGATTTTGGATTTCAATTTAAATTCCCTTAAATTACCTTCTTCTGTTAGTCGGATTCGTAACGTGAGAAATAAATTCTTGATTTTGTTCATTTTCATGGAAACTCATCTCTCTAAGAAATGCCTTGAGGTTTGTTAAATAAGATTTTAGGGGCTAGTTGCAGAGATAGAATAAATGGGTTGTGAAATCAAAAATTTAAGGGAATTTAAATTGAAATCCAAAATCAATTTGGTGATTCAGGGTTCTTAAATCTCAAAATTGATTTAGGGAAGAAGAAGATAAACAGTACCTTCTGTTAGTCGGATTGACCCCGTTAATGTCGAGGTAGTAAAACCAATTCTTTTTAAAAGTTCGAGTATATAAAGAAAAAACTTAAATAGTTAGTGTATTTATCGGATAGTTAAAAAAGTTTGGGTATTTTTTCAGCAGATGTAACTAAGTTCGGGTGTTTTTTGGGAATTTTCCAAACACATAGAAATGAGTTTCATATAATTGCATATTACCAAACGAAAAAGAGTTTCGAGATGCACATACATAACCACACAATATTCATCTTATGGAATAATTCATCATAGAAATGGAAGACCAAAATCGAGTTTGTATTTGCGATTTCAATAATGACCGACTATTTTAAATAGTAAGAATATTCAGCTTCTCACACTATTAATTTGATCTGAGAATGTTTTAATGTATTTCTTCTCATAGGAAACACATGATGAAAGAGAAAAATGTTACATTCACCATTTCTTCTTCTCCCTTAAACCGAACCCTCTTCACTCACTTTGTGCATCAGTCATCTTGAAGACAACTTCACAACTAATTGTTTCTTTCTCTTCCTTTGTGTCTAAGCCACAAGATGACATTCTAGACAAGGTTTCATGGTACTAATGAAGCACAAAAAGAAACACTAAGAGAAAGAACAATGTATATTATACACATAGGAACCGTTTCATTCATCAATTTATAAACACTTTATTCCATCCAAAAGCCATCATTGTATGAGAAATCAATATCTTATCTTGTGGCGATATCATCTTTCTCAACGGTGAAATCCCAAACATCACCATACTTGTCATTAAAGTCCCAAATGTTCATGGTATTGTAGTCATTAATGAGCTTATCACGAGCTCCTCTCTCCAATTTGTATATCTGAGGCTCGAAGTTGTGTGGCTGATCTGGTTTATCCATCTCTATTATACAGAACACTACCGTGATCGAAGTAAAATTTCTAATAATCCATACTAATTAAGAAACAAAAATTAAGATAGAATATAGAGAGGATCTATATAAGCTATAAAATAAACAAATAATACATATAAAAATGTCAATTAAAATATATAAAAAGGCGAATGATAAACAAAAAAAGATATAAATTGGAAAAAAAAATTAGAAAGGTTATAGAAACTTAAGTTTAAAATTTTAAGACATGCACAAGCACAACCATGCAAAACTAAAATAAATTAAAAATCTATAAGCATACTCATTTTATCAATATATAGAGTCATTGAATATCACAACGAAAATTGGATATACTCGACCTATGGCACAACTGGTAGTTTTCAAGTGTATATATTGAAAATTTAAATAAGTTAAAAATAATATTATTATATTTACTGTATAAAGGTTGACGAATATAAATCTCTAGGAGAAATAAAACGATGACAATAATGAAATACAATTATCAATCATGTACTTATGTGATAGTTCACAACAATATTTATAAATTTTTATGAGGTTACTAACATAAAATTTACTCATTTACGATTTAACTATATAGTATTTCAATTTTTTTATACTTCTACCACATAATTCATAAATATCCATAATGGATAAAAATATATTTTTTCTTTTGTTATCAAGAATATGAATCAATTTCTGAT